TCCTCGCCTTGCACAGGGGACTATCTGTAACATCTATGGTAAATAAATGTTTATAACAGGTACCGTGCTCTGTTATAGCACTTGTTACTATCCTGATCTGCGGCTTGTTCAATGTAATTAGAACCTTGGTTAAACGGCTGTTTATTTCAGGCAGGTCCTCCCTAGCTTGTCTACAGTCTACTAGATTTTCCCGATGCTGAGCGTGTTGATTAGTGAAGTGCCTACGTACCTGTGTACGAACGTTACCAGAGGGGATTGGTATGATTGGTTTCGACCCTATAGTGGCCAGAGACGATCATCTTTTGGCCAGTTCGTCTGCTGCATCGTTACCTCTGGATTCACTGTGCCCCTTTATCTATTGCAGAGTCACATTGTTGTGTTTACATACCTCGTTTAATCATTGATGGCATTCATATATTAGTCCCGAGTTCACCACATTGCAACACAGAACTTGTAATACCGCCCTACTGTCGGTCAGTATTCTGATGGAGAAGTATTTAACCTTCCTAGCATCTATTGCTATGGCCGCTTGAATGATGCCTGTGGCAGCCATACATCCCAGTCTCTGGTAACGCTGAAGCTTCTTTATAGTGGTGGCTTCATTTGTCTTGGTCCACCATACCAGAGCACCGTATGTGATCATGAGCGGAAATACAGTTTTGTACAGCCACAGTATGATTTTTGATGTCAGACCCCGTCTTTTGCCAATCGTGTTTCTGCAATGCTAGAAATTATACTAGCTTTGTTGATTTTGTTTCCTATGTGTTTATTCTAGTTGAGTTTACTGTCCCAGGTAAGACCTAAATATTTTACCTCGGAGGATAGGTGGAGTTTTGTGCTGAAAAGACTTGGGAGATGATAGTTATTCAGCATTCATTTTTGTGTGAACATTACTAGGACCGTTTTATTTGGACTAACGCTTAAGTCGTATTCCCTGCACCATCTCTCCACTACACGGAGAGCCGCTTGGGTCAGGTCGCACACCATGCTGGCTGTCTTTCCAGAGACCAATATTGTTAGGTCATCAGCATAACCTACTGTGTAGAAGTGATTGGCATTTAATTTTCTGATAAGTACATTAATGACCATATTCCACAGGAGAGGTGAAAGAACCCCACCCTGCGGGTAGCCTTTCTTAATCTGGATTTTTTGAAATTCACCAGCAATCTTTATTGATCGTGTACTGAGCATGTTTACTATCCAGTCAATCACTGCCGGTTCAACTTTATGTCTACTGAGTGCACCTTTCATGCTGGAGAAGTTCGTTCTGTCAAAAGCACCTTCCATATCTATGAAGGAATCTAGATATATTACTTTGTTTTGGATGTCAATGTTCTCTCTGTCAATTTACCTAAGCTGTAGGCGTGTTGTTTGTCGTGTAGCGGTAAGTTCATTAGCGCCGACCCCCCTAATTCCCTTTCACACATCCTCTCCATCGTCTTTAGGAGAAAGGATGTGAGGCTAATGGGTCTGTAGGATTTATGGTCTGTATAGTCGCTCTTAACTTGTTAGGGTATGAATGTGACTTTCACTTCCCTCCATCCCCTTGGAACATATTTAAGAGCCAGACAGGCTCTCATTATGGCAACAATAAAGTCTGACTATGAAGATAGAATGCCTCGTCTTAGACCTCACGGGTGACAACGCATCTGCATTTTGATTCGCAAATGAGGATAGATGTAGATTTCTATGGGCCGCAGCAACCACTTACCATCAGGTGGACCGTGTGCTCCCCCTTATTCTATAAAAAAAATAGTTATTGGGTTTTTCTATCAAGAAATTCTCAGTAGCGTCCCGTGGTCAGGAAGTAGGCAGTGATTTCCCGTGCCTCAGAAAGCAAGTAAAGTCGTTGGTCCTGCGCCTGATCTCTCCGGTCGTGTCGGGATCGGATAATGAGAGTGATGGAATAGAGAGTGCATCTCCCCCTGACCGAAATTCGGTCTGGAGGACATTATTATATATAGACAGTATAGGTCTCCTCTCCTTTGTATGAGGCTCATGAAGCCTTTTACCTATACTTGACGTTTTCTTAACAAGCAGTAGGACGTATACAGACAGTACTTTTTAATAGGTGTCGACTACGCGATAAAACGAACTACAGCTTTGTTTAATGAGGGCATCCACGACTTTTTTTGCCACAAGGGCAGCGCCACTTTACAGTGAGGTAAAATATTTGACAGATTTCATAACGGGAACGATAATTTCTTAGGAAAATATAATCCTTATGTAAGGTTTCTTTCTGTATTATTAGTTATATTTTATATTAATTACATTAGAAATGAATAAACCAAACTATAAATATAACTAAAAGAGGATTTAAAAAAAAAAGAGTTATAAAGTGCAAAAAATTAAAAAGCAAATCACTGACGCATTGTGTTCTGTATTAATATAATACTCTAGATAATGATAAACTATTATTTAAAATTAATTTCTCAATTAACTGACACTGTGTAACGAAAAACTTTACCTCAGTCACAACTAGCGACATCTGGTGAGTGGAAGTAGCCCTCATTAAATAACCTCTTTTTATTATTAGGCCTGTAATGGATATGTTTCCTTTTATAAATTTTGTACGTGGTAAAACCATACTGCAGCCATATTTAAGCACTGTTGGCTCGAACGGAAAAGATTCACGCTCTCACAGTATCATCTACATCACCGTCAACGCAAGCAAACTATAACAGAAACAGAAACAGAATCTTTCTTTTTATTCAATATCGATTATAAATAACGTAATAACTAATATTAAACGTAACTTTTTTAATTTACCACAGTATCATACATTACATTACATCAAAAGTCCGCTGTTGAACATAGGTCCTTTATAGATCTTCTCATAGGGGGATTTTTGGTATAGTTGCACAATGAGGGCTAATAATTTTCTGCCCGAGATTGACACTGAGGTACAGGTTTTTGTTACACAGTGTAATTTAATTGAGTAGTTGGCTTTTAATAAAAGTTTATCATTTTCTAGTGTATTATATTAATACACACAACATTGCGTCAGTGGTTTGCTCTTTAACTTTTTGCACACAAAAATATTTCTACTTTTATGAATATCTGTGGTTTGGTTAATTTATTTTTAATCGTGTTAATATAAAATATAGCCAATAGTACAGAAACAAATAATAACCTTTACATTTTCCGAACAAATTAACTTACCCGCTATGAAATCTGTCAAATATAATACCGCACTTTCTAGTATCGCCGTCGTGGGGGCAGAAAAAGTTGTGGATGCCTTCATTGGCAGACGGGTTGACAATTGCAGTTTTTTTTTGAGATATAGTCAGGAGAATGCTGCTGCTTACCTTCTGTTCCATTTCCCCTGTCGCCTCTTTCAACACCCACGGGATTTTTTTTATAAAATAAGGGTGACGATCGAGCACACAGTCCACCTGACTGTAAGTGGATGCTGTAGCCCATAGACATCTACATCTAATGCTGATGCGTTGTTAACCCCTCAGGACAAAGATAGAATAACTCGTTTCCATGGGGTGATATGGGAATCTCTTACGAAACCTTTACTCGAAAATTACATAAAACATATTTACTTGCAATATATTCTCTTGTAAAAATATAAACCTTCGTCCTCCGATTCAAAATTCTAAAAGTTATAATGCGTAATCCAATAGGACAGACGCACAGAAGTAAACATGCTCAGTTCTAAAATCCGTGGAGCAACTTTGCCCCACCATCATTCAGTTTATCCTAAAGTCGCCGTGATTATGTATTCTTATCCAAAATTCAATAAACGGCTTATGCATCCCATCTGCCTTCATCCTCCATTCCATCACGCCGTATCTCCTTTATCATTATCTAGCTGTATCCCGGCACGTTGCTGCCGCAGAAGAAATAATTGTGGAAATATAATTTTAAATCGGGAACAGTTATATTGTTTAACTAGTTGTTGCCCGCGACTCCGCCTGCCTGTTATTTGGGTTTTTAATTGTTTTGCGCGGAACCCTAATTCTTTTTCTAAAATAAAAGTAGCCTAAGTTACTCCTTGAGACATCAGCTATCTGCCAGTGAAAATCTCGTCAAAATAGGTCCAGCCGTTTCGGAGATTAGGCGGAACAAACAGACAGACAGACGGACAGACAGACAGACAGACAAAAACTTTAAAAATTGTATTTTTGTTATTAGTAACGTATATACTTTCATATGCATTTAGTAAAAAGCTGTAATTTTGACATTACAAACAGACACTTCAATTTTATTTATCTGTATAGAAGATTAGGAATGATATAATACATTCATTGAAATTGAATAATATTAATATATTATTCAATTTAAATAAATGTACTAAATAATATACAACTTTCAAATAAATTTGTCGCTACGATACGCGCGGCACCTCCTGTATGTTAATTGTACTATGCCACTATCACTCGGCGAGGAGCCGAGTCTGTTTTTTCGACTTCGTCGCTCGTTTATATACCCAGTAGACACGTGTAGGGTAGGGCTTAGCGTTAGGTGGTCGAAGCCTACTGATACGAGCGACTCATCCCCCGAGCGACTCATCCCCGAGCGACTCATCCCCGAGAGACTTATCCCCGAGCGACTCATCCCCGAGTGACTCATCCCCGAGCGGCTCATCCCCGAGCGACTCATCCCCGAGCGACTCATCTCGTAACATGTATGCATAAATATATGGATTTAAAGGAGGCGAGAGATGTGTGTCATGATCGTGCCAAATGGAAGTCCGTAGTCTCTGCCAGGCGTGAGTGTTTATGTATGTATGTTTTGTTAAATTGTATTAGTAGTAGTTAATTAGTAGCAGCCCGGGGTCCGGACGTTAACGACGTTCTGCGTCTGATCTCTCTCCTATCGTGTCGGATTACCTTCCCATCGGGCTATGAGAGTGAGGGAATAGAGAGTGCATGTCAGTGATGGCTAGTCTCCGTTGAGACTCCCCGCCGTGACCGAAATTCGGTCTGGAGAACATAAAAAAATTTAAATGTACTTTTATATCTTTGCCACCAGAAGAACCAACTGTGAAGATGCAGCGCACGTCCACCAGCACGGAGCGCACGCCGCTAGTGCAACCCACCTACGTGTTCGAGTCCAGTCTCTCCAGGAGCTATCAAAAGAGACTTCGCACATTCCAGTGCGTCGTGTGCGTTTTATTAATGTAAGTAACTTAATAAGTACGTAGTAAACCTTTACATCATTATTATAGGACTTGTATGAAACTATAGACATGTGTCAATAGTAAATGATTCGTTAATTTGACCCGAGTCGCATAAAAGTATTGATGATTGCAATTCCATTTTTTAAACGTTCTGTTCGAAGGTTTCTGCACGATGATTATTTTCGACGCTGAACATGTAAACCATCGGTGAACGAACTCTAGTTGCTCACATAGCACGTTGTTTAAGGAATAAAATATGGCATTTATAGTAATATGCCTTTCACATGAATATGAATATGCATCACCTGTTTGGAACCCATCATACCAAATTCACAGTAATCGAATAGAGCGTATCCAGCGCAATTTTACCCGCTACTTAGCCTTTAAAGATCAAACTTGTTCTTACCGTGCTGTCTATAATACTAGGCTATCCCACTTCAAATTAGAGTCTCTCGAAAAAAGACGTCGACTTAGCGATCTTAAAACACTTTATATTTATAAGCTAATTCACGGCCACCTACTATCACCGGCATTGTTAAATCAAATAAGTATCAGAGTTTCAAGATCTATACCAAGACATCCGATTACCAAAATCTTCTGTTTATCTAACCATAGAACAAATTTAGGTAAACGAGCCCCAATAAATAGGTTAATGCAAACGTTTAACGACATAACCACCAACGGCGATGTCGACATTTTCCATACGGATAACGTATCACAATTTGCTAAATTATCTTCTTCAAGTTTAGCATTAGTTTTTTTGTAAGCAAATTACTTGTAAATTTATTAATAATATTGTTCTAGTTAAGTAAGTTAACAACTGTCATATTGTAGCTGCACTATTTTGTGAATGTTGTATATACCTTTAAAGGCAAATCACTTTGAACAAAACCAATTGTGTTATACTTAACAATGTCTAGTGATAAGCCAATGGTGTATCTGTTAAAATAAATAAATAAATAAACACAACAAAATAATATCTACGATGGATAACCTCTATATTTAAAAATTAATTACGGTCCGTTAGTCTCGCTAAAACTTAAAAACGGCTCGACCAATTTTGATGATTTTTTTTTTGTGTATTTAAAAGGGTCGCACGGTTGTTTAAACTTACATATGAAGGTGACGCTTTGTCGAGGTCCGTGCGAAGCTGGGACGGATCGCTAGTCTGTGACAAAACATGTTTTAATATGTAACCTAAATGTTTTCTTGTAATTTATTATTGCTATTGTTAGCTTTAGTTTTGGTTCTTTATATTCCTGGGAGAGCATTACAGTGTATACTTGCTGTTCCCCGCGATTTCGCTCGTGTGTTAGGGTTTTTATGTTTTTGTGCGAAACCCTAATTATTTTTCTAAAATAAAAGTAGCCTAAGTTACACCTTATGAAATCAGCTATCTGCCAGTGAAAGTCCCGTCAAAATCGGTCCAGCCGTTTTGGAGATTACCCGGAACAAACAGACAGACAGACAAAAATTTTAAAAATTGTATTGTTAGTTTTTTAGTTATAATAAGTACCGTATTTACTTTCATATGCATTTAGTAAAAAACTGTAATTTTTACATTACAAACAGACACTTCGATTTTATTTATTTGTATAGATAATCACGAAAGTATACCTACGATACAAATATCTACGATGGATAATCTGTGCTCTTACTCTTGCGGCTACGCTGTAATGTGATAGTTTAGTTACAAAATTCTGTGGTTTTATTTGAGGACTAGCTGTTCCCCGCGACTTCGCCCGTGCTAATTTATTACGATTGAATTTCATGGATTTTAATTTTTTGCGCGGTGCCCTAATTATTTTTCTAAAATAAAAGTAGCCTAAGTTACTTCTGATAACATCAGCTGTCTGCCAGTGAAAGTCCGGTCAAAATCGGTCCAGCCGTTTCGGAGATTAGCCGGAACAAACAGACAGACAAAATTTTAAAAATCATGTTTTTGTTATAAGTATCGTATATATTTTCATATGCATGTAGTAAAAAGCTGTTATATCGACATTACAAACAGACACTTCAATTTTATTTATTTGTATAGATTAGCTATGTTCCCAGCGATTTCATCCGCGTGAGATTTATTACGATTGGATTTCATGGGTTTTAATTTTCTTTTTTGCGCGAAATCCTTATTCCTTTTTTAAAATAAAATTAGCCTAAGTTACTCCTTATAACATCAGCTATCTGCCAGTGAAAGTCCCGTCAAAATCGGTCCAGCTATTTCGGAGATTTGCCGGAAGAAACAGACATACAGAGGGACACAAATTCAAAAAAAATTACATAAAGTAATTAGAACTATAATAGACATTTAAATACTCGTACTTCTACTCTGTAAAGATTTAACATCATTGAGTTATATGTACTACGTACTAGAGAAGCCATTCCGAACATTGACTATGTTCAACTGAACTGTAGTGCAATCCATACAAACTAAATATTGCGTAAATTGAAGATTTGTCAATTCCATAAAATAATTATTATTACATTTTATTTAGAAATATGTTTGTTTAGATTAAATTAAGATATTTTATATTAAATTCTTATATTTATTTTATATTAATATCTTATTTTATATTAAATTAAAGTCTTCGCGCAAGCTACTATTCCCGCGCATGCGCGAAGACATAGAGTAGCACACAATTTTTGTTTGGAATGGCTTCTCTAGTACGTAGTACATATAACTCAATGTTTAACATAGAGAATTCAGTTTCATAACATCAATTATTAAGTGCTTGTTTGTTTGATCAAGCATTTTATTATTTACAAGTAAAATTTAATGTAATTAAAACTAATTGAGGTGGAAAACTGTCACACTTACCCTCAATGAGGCAAGTGTGACAGTATGCTTCTTTTTGTAGTTACTTTATTATTATTATTTGTGGTTTTCGACAAAATTGAAGAGCTGATACTAACATAGAATTATTATGGGTATTATATTATGCGTAATAATTCTATGGATACTAATGTCAAAATATTTTAAGATCTATATAAACAAACGACTTGAACGTTCATTTTGGTGTAACAATGAGTTTTTAGTTTTTAAAAAATAATGATGTATAGTTAATAGCGTAAACATTCCTGCGTTGTTCAATACATGAAATTTAACAAAAAAAAAAACGTGTTTATGCCATATAATTTGCATTTGTTACACTAGCCCCACTGTCACACTTACCTCGAGTGACCATACCGTATATACTTTCGTACAATCTTTATATTGTTAGCCGTAAGTGCAGTTTTTGTTTGATTTTTTCTTTATTTGAGTAGTTAGGTTTGATAACCTTTAAACTACCTATATTCGCCTTGAAATGGCATGGGTCTTTGACCTTCTAGAATTCATCAGGTGATATCTGTATGCATTTACATGATGTTATTTAATATTGAAACGAAAAAAATGCTACCGCGGCTAATGTATTAATTGTTATATATTTTTTTAGTTGTGTATGTTTATAGAAATTTATGTAGCATACGTCTTTTCATTTTATGTGATAAATTTTTCGTCACTCCGTATATAAAAATTACGTGTCACATTGTTTGTCCGCGATGAACTCCTAAACTACTGAAATGATTTCAATAAAATGTTTCACAATGTGTGCAGTTTGGTCCAACTTGAGAGATATGATAGTTTTTATCCCGATAAGTGACCCTCATTTTTTTTTATTGTGAATTTATTGATATTTTTTAGCACACATGGTCGTCGGAAAGGGCAGAACAAAGTCTGCCTGGTCAGCTAGTAATATTATAAGTACTTATTATGTAATATGTTATTGCTTTCACATGCATTTAGTAAAAAGCTGTTTTTTTGACATTACGAACAGTCACCTCACTTTTATTTATTTGTATAAATGTAATACTATTAAATAAACTTGAATGACCAGCCAGTGAGTTATCAAGGCTCATTTTAGCTTGTTATTTTATAGCATGATAAAAAAATTCAAATTTTCGGAATCCAATTTAAATTTCCTACTCTATATTTTTTTTAAAAGAATACTGTCATTATTACGAGTAAGATAAAACAAATGATGTTTAAAAACGGAATGTAAAATCTTTGCCAAGGTCAAATCTCGAACATGTTTTTTTATTTTATTTCCAATCCAATGGACTGTGTATTCATAAACACGGCAAAACTCGTCATACAGGGTTATAAAAACAACATTCTTTCTCGCTAATGTATTAATAATGAAATGGTGTCCATAGAAGATCTATTAGCGCTTCCCGATTTATTCATCGTTATCGAGAATGATCCTCACTATCACTAACAAGACTATTTTTTTTATATGACAGTAGTACAACAGTTAATATAATAGAATATCCATAGACTTTGATATAAAAATCTTCCAATGTTAAACTAAGAACATTAAATGGGATGTAATGTTTTTAATTTAATGACAATTAAAATGTTTAGATTTAGTTTTTTCTTTATTATATTTTTTTTAAATGTGTGCAACCTATCAGTTAGATAAGAATTACATTTCATCAACATTACATGACTAAAATTGTAAATAGCAAATAAGTAAATAATGTATCACGTTTTTTTTTTACATAATAGTCACTCAATCTAGGTAAGCATAAATGAAGAATTATAAAAGAAAAATAATTCGAAAGGGAAATACTCTTCGGTCCACTAGCAACACAGAACTGATTCGTATATATCGCGTGTCCGGTAATGAATGGATAACCTTGTAATGTCTTATAGTACAACTTATAGCCGTTCTGAAAAAAAAACGAAACATAATATATCACAAGTAGTACCTTTGATATATATTTTTAAAGAAAAGTCGATTTTTTTCTTATTTTACTGTCTTGAACACTATGACCAAAAATGAATGATTTCTATTGGTTTTTTGTTGTTTTATTATTATACACTAACTGTGCTGATAGATAAAAAGTAAACAGTATAAATAGCTTTTGCAGTTTTTATTTAAAAAATTCGCAAATTAATTTATTTCTGAAAAACATGAAAAAAATATTATTTAAGCGAAGTTCAAACCTCTTGGGTATGAAAA